TATATAAATGAAATGTTAGGCCTGTTTCAAACGTCGCGCTTCTCATGTGCCGAACGCATTAAAAACAATAGATAATCAGTTGATAATGCGTTCGGCACATGAGAAGCGCGACGTTTGAAACAGGCCTTATAATTTGCTTACCTCAGAGACGGGAACCATTTATATAATTTCAAATCGACATATGTGATGTTGCTCACTTCCACAATATTGACTTTGGTGTCTATTGGATAGAGATGAGTGCCCTCTTTGTTCGAGAAATTGCATACACCATAAGCACAGGAACAATCTCTACATTCCAGCGTTATTTTGGAGCATGGTATTGGACCATTCACAGAGAAAAGTTTAACCTTCGCAGGGTAATTTCGCATCGTCAATGACTTGCCACATCGAAGACACGCACTAACGGGTGGCGTAAGAAACTTGATGAACGACATATTTTCCGACTTAGTTAGCTCTAATAGCTTGTCGTCCACGTCTTGCGTCAAGAAAAGGGATGGACAATACGATTCCATTATGTTTACATAAAACTCGACATCTTGTATTGCCATGTTAACATTTGTCGACACGAGTGTGAAAATTTTATGGATGTAGTCGATCCGTAAGGATTTTTCATTCACAACTCTACAAATATTCCTCGGAACGTGTTGCGCTGCTTTTCTTAACGTTTCTAATGTTTCAACGCCAAGCTTACATACCAAAACTTGAAGAATTTCGGCTTCTTTCAGTGTCGACGCAACGCGCTTTATGTCGACATTTCTGAGCGCATCAAGATGCTTGCGAATACCGTCTGCGTAAACATCTTCTTCTCTCATACGATGTTTAACTGACTCTAAATCAAACGACACAGCCACTCTTTTCTTTTTTGACATTATTTCTATCGAGAGGCGGTCAACATACGAGCGCACACATGGCAGAAAACAAAGCCACAGATAAAGCGCATAAACAACCGCGCAATCACTTGGGAAACTGGGGATGATTTATTGGTTACGCGGGCACGCGTGCTCTTATGCCACGCAGTTTGAGCCTTTGCCAGTCACAGCAGAACAGGTCAAACGAGAAACACAGAGAGATCCTCTATTGGCGAAGGTCCATGAGTTGGTTATGAAAGGATGGTCCACTCCACAAGATGAAGCGATTAAACCGTTTTACCAGCGGAAAGACGAACTGACAGTTCACTGTGGTGTCCTAATGCTTGGACACAGAGCAGTCATTCCTGCAAAGTTGCGTAATCAAGTGTTAACCGTGCTTCACGAAGGTCACCTTGGAATGAAGTCTCTGGCGCGAAGTTACATCTGGTGGCCCAAAATTGATAAGGACATTGAGCACCTAGCCAAGAGCTGCCCTGGTTGTCAACTTCGACAGAATGAAGCCGGCAAAGTACCACTACACCCTTGGGAATGGCCAACCACACCTTGGCAGAGAATCCATTTAGATTTTGTTGGGCCGTTTCTAGGACAATGTTCCTTATCATTGTAGATGCACACTTGAAGTGGCCTGAAGTGGAAATAATGCCATCCACCACATCGACGCAGACCATTGACCGATTCCGAACTATTTTTGCCCGATATGGAGTGCCAGCACAGGTGGTGACCGACAATGGGCCACAATTTACATCCGCAGAGTTCCAACTATTTTTGAAGACTAATGGTATCAAGCATATTACCACGGCCCCATTCCACCCTGCAACCAACGGTCAAGCGGAACGTTTTGTTCAGAGTTTCAAACATGCTATGAAATGCGAGAAACAAAGTGCATCCCAGCTGAAACCCAATATGGCAAAGTTCCTTTTGGCTTACCGGAATACCCCGCATTCGACGACTGGAGAATCACCGTCCGTGTTGTTTTTGGGCAGACCGCTACGGACTCGCCTCGATTTGGTGAAACCTGATTTACAAAGGAAAGTGATGAACAGGCAAATCGATCAAGCGGGGAGGAAAGGACATTCCCCCACACGTCAGTTATCCATTGGTCAGACTGTCATGGCACGTAACTACAGTGGGAAAGACAAGTGGTTACCAGGCATAGTTCGAGCTCAAACGGGACCCCTTTCGTACGAGATAAAAGTTGGTCCAAATCGAATTTGGCGACGTCACATCGACCAGCTTCGAGCCTCGAGTGTGAAAGTAAATGACCAGAGTGATGATACGGCTGATCCTCATCCAGAGCTCGGAGAGACGGGCCAGAATATTGCACCAGCAGAAGAAATTGTTGCAGAGCCGGATATCGAACTAGCCACGAATCCACCAGTAGTGCAACAACAAGAAGCCGGTAGGGCTACAACAGGATCTGAACAACGCTACCCAAATAGATCACACCAACCACCCGAGAGGTGGGTTCTTAACTGTTTGATCCGAAAACTGTTTAAGAAAATTACATAGAGAACTGCTTTATTACTTACTGTTATGGTTAGCATAATTGTTCGAACACGATAGTGAACTCATGAACAATATTTTATGATACATTCCTTAAGAGGAGAGATGGTGTTAGATATATAGATATAGACGGACAGCGGTCATACGCACGGACATGCGCATTAGATATGGAGATCGGCCATGCTTATGTATTATTCATATTTTGTTAAAAGTATAATCTAAATACACGACAAATCAGATTTAGAACCGAAATACGGTTGTAAGGCATGGACTTTTATTAAGGTTTGTATCAGGCCTATTTATTTATTTATAGGCCTGATCGCAGGTTAGGTCGAGGCTTAGTGCCAATTTGCTATAGAAAATAACAATTTAGCGCGAAGCCTCGTTCTCATGCTATTGTCTGTGGGCCGATTGGACCGTAATTCGGAAATGGCCTGTTGGACGAAAACTACCCACTGATCTGTACTAAGACTGGATAACGCATCTATAGTATACAAAAGTGAAGCCGGAAGTCACCGGCCGCCACCCGATTCAAGGGTCCCACTTTTGTATAGATTTGTATTACAGGTGGTAGTTTTTCGCGTTTTTTGCCTTGGCTACGTTTCTGACCGGGCCAGTTTTACAATCACAAAGATAGAAGTATACAAGAAGAATTTTGAGTAAAAAATGTGGAGTATTATGGCTTCATAACGCCGCGAAACGGGATTTACAATTTTGAAGGAGTGCCCCGGCTTCACTTTTGTATACTATAGATGCGTTATCCAGTCCTAGTACAGATCAGTGAACCACCTCATATATATAATAGTATTGCCAATAACGTTGTTCTAGTGTACAGGTGTAACAGACCTATTTGGTCCGTTGTCTATGCCTTCAATCTCCTGTTATTCCTGTAATTTTAACATTTTAAAATTAGTATTAATATAATAAAAATAAACATATATATGCATGTATAAACCTTACCTCCTAGTTCATCACAAGCTTTATGGCATGGTTTTCTTACACAAAAATGTCCAGCTGCATCTAGCACGGTGCCTGCTTTACATTCTTGTACCAAACCAGAACGTGGCATAACTTTTATATCCATGATTGCAATATCATCTTCCCCATTTGCAAAGGTATAAAATCGAGCATGGATCGGATTTGTACGATCGATTATTGTTAGATAATTATCACCAAAGTTAGTATTCGCTTGAGTCTTACCATACTCGATGACTGTACTTTCTGTTGTCTCAGTTAGGCATGCGAAATAAGATTGATATAAATTGCTTGAACCAATAGACACAGCATTTCGATTGAGTGAATAATCTAGGATCTTGTCACCCTGAATGCCAAGAACAGATAATAATTAATCAAACAATTGCTGGATGAGACTGACTTCGAAACTATCTGCCAAAGCAGTGCCGAAGTTTTTTGTATAGATGGAATTTTGCAACGTAAATTTCTATAGTACACCGTTCTAGACCTAAGCAGGAGCAGTTGCGAAAAATCATGCAACTTGAACCTAATTGAACCAAAGTCATTTTTAATTTGTAATAATTATCTTTTCGGAGACAAAATTGTGATTACTGTTTATTACGAGCTTTCGTCCACCTTTCTGTGCATGGCCTTACATTCTATATTTTACGATTCAAGGTTTTTAGAAGTTTTAAACTCTTACTGCTGACGACCACTAAATTCACTTTCCATGCTACATTACTATGGAAGATGGAACGCTAACTTTCTTTACTTTTTCAGTTTTCTGTACTATAGGAAACAAGCAGTTCATTTTCGTGCCCACAATTTGGAGTGCTGTTCCCGTAGTTGAACAACACAAAATACTGACCGTAAGCTGTATTTTGATATATATTGGAATTTATATGTTTGCTTTTCATTGTGATGAAATAATAAAATGACATAATTTTTTCAAACTATACTCTATATATAGATATTGGGGTTGCATATATAGAAAGCTATAGCTAGCCTACTTGTTGAATAGAAATTGGATGAATTCTTACCTTGTATACCACAACTCCGTTCGTAGAGATTTCAATTGAGTACCACGTCTCTTTGTTGGTAGGAATCGATGAGAATACAATGTACACTGTTCCTCGTGCAAAAGCAGTGAAATGCACACATTTGTCGTGCTTGTCATCGTTTGGATCAAATCTAAATGGATTGGACCACTTTACATTGCATGGAGTATGGAGTCTTGTTGTTGCATTCGTCATTCGGGAGAACAGAGTTGCAGCTGGCCATTCGATACGAGCAAGAACTTTATCTGAAATTGCCAAAAATAAACTTCATTTTCAATTACCGAATTAAGTAAATGATAACTTGCATCAGTTGCATGTCTAAAGTTATAAATCTAAATGAAGAGATCGTCATTTTATAATCAAATTACTTCGATACATTTACATAATTTTTAAATAGATTGGTATATCTCATCTGCACAATTATTCACAGTATTTCATATTAGTGTTTTAATTAAAGAGCAACGCATAAATTATCTCGTTCATGCGTTTTATCTTAAATTAACAAATTCTAGATAGATTTTTGGCATGTGGAATATTTAAGAACAAATTCTATGAGATAAAATATGTTTGTATTAGAATTCTCATATTAATCTCCTCTATGCCGAATATGATGTCATCAGATGACTTTTAGAAGGAAATTTCTTTCCATCTAACTGATAACATTATAACCTGCAACTTCTACAATGAAAAGATTTAATGAAACTGAGATTTTCCAATGAAGATATAGTTTTCTTAGAATGACCCAAATATTGCACCTAACAAAATCATATTTGGGGTTAGTGGAAATTTTAACAGCGAATGTATTTATTATAATTTTACCCTTTAAATACTCGTCGATATTTGTAAAATATTTGCTAGATTCACTGTAATCTGCAGTTGCGAGAGTAAGTGATCCATCCGATTCAGCGTAAGTAAGAATGAGTCCAAGTATGGAGATTTTATTATTAGAAGAAGAACGACTACCACCCACTGATCTAATAGTAGACTGGATATAGCTTCTCTAGGTGTGAAAAGTGAAGCCAAATTATATATGCGAAAATCACTTCCGGGGACCACGGAGTGATACAAATTACTATAGAAATGTATGGCGAACAACGTGAACCAAGGTGAATTTTCCCGAATTTGAGATACTTTGCGAAGTTTTACCAAGCTGATCGCTCCACCGTGGGTAAAAGATGTTATGTTAATGCTTTTAAAACGAAAATTATCCAGATTGCCCTAAAATATCGTCAGTTTTGTTCGTTCAAAGTTGTCCATGCGGGAATAATATTTTATCGCCACAGTGGTATGACAGCACAATTTCTAGTTTGCTTTACAATTACGGAGAGAGAATATGATCTACTATACTCAAGCATACTTTTAAAGGAAAGTTTGTAGTTCATTTTATAATTTATGTTTAACCTTGATCGACCAGAGGGTTTCAAATTTTCAATTATCCATCTTACTATACAGCCTTTTTACAAAATATATAGACATGTCTTAGTTGGTACTATAAAATATATAATTTGTACTTTTTTATTTGTTATTCTGTTAAACTGGAAGGCAACCTTAATGAAGCTTTCTGTAGAGTGAATCTACTTTAATAGTGAAGTTGAATTTTGAATTAGAACAACAAAATTGATTTAAAATGTGGGGTGTATTTATCATTCAATATCTAATTGAGTATAAATATAAGAACAAATATAAAATATATTCAAAATTAATTTGAAATAATAATCTGCTTAATTAAACCTCAACCACTGATGGACTCAACTCATTGATACCAAAGTAAAATTGTCAGGCAACTATAGGCAGTGTGATATTCTGACAATAGAAGATAAAATATACATGCTTTTTTAGGTTGCCTTGGCCAATTATTGATGAAATTATCTCTAATTTAAGTTTCTAATTGCCTATACTTCAAAAGCATGGTTTCCATAACCAGTTGTGCTGTTTCCACAATGTCAAGAAACCCCAGGTGACAAAACACAACATTTGAACCAAGGCATGAGAAAGTCTGGCAGCATGCTGCCAGGAAATTTTTTTAATATCACAGGAAATTTTTAAGGAAAAGCAAGATATCAAGAATGAAGCTCGAGAAATTTCAAAAATCAGCACAACCTCGTACCCAGGGCTTCTGCGGCGTGTGCTTATTGCTCTCTGAGAGCAATAAGCACAAAAGCCCTGGGTACTTAAAGTAACAAACATCACAATTAGAGCATAAATACAACAATCATAACATAAAAATTTGTATCATGTGGCAGTGCTATATATACAACTGCCTGTTATCATGATTCATGATTATGATATACATGTGAAAAACAAGGGCGTACTACTATTATTGAATAGTGCATGAGTACTGATATAAATTCAGATTTACAATCTGAAAACAAAATTCAAATATTGTTTCATAGAATTCCATCATGTCCCTAATTCTAGTAAACCTATATTTTTCTTAATATTGAGGTAGTATATGACTAATTAGTAAGGTAGTTTAGTATTTTTGCACAAGTGAACATAACAAATACTACATGTTGATTGGTCATATCTTCCTAGATCGGTGAATACTCCCCAACTAATCACCTCGCCTTCAGTGAATAATTGTTAAATACACGACACTGTTATTGAATTACAAAATTCAAATTTATAAAAAAAATTGGCAGGAAATTTTTGGTCTGGGAAGCCTGCTGCCAGGAAGAAAAATATTTTATCAAGGGTTAATTTGAACTGCAACCAGTGTTTCTTTTTTGAATACCCCTGGGCTTGGGGTGTGTATAAACCCACAGGCACATGTATAGGGTGTCACAAAAAATGTCCCCTCTGTTGTTAAGTACTATAAAGCCTGGTTTCCATATGGTAAAAAGATCGAGTCATAATCTTTCTCATCAGCCGAAATACAACATTTTAGAACTGAAAATATGCAGAGTGATTATAACTAGTGAATACTTATGATTTATATGTGGTTTACAGGTATAAACTATTATATACTGACCCAGTGCTTCCATTTTCAAAATAAAAATTTCCCATTTTTGACATCAAAATTTCTCTAAATTCCTTAGAGTGTATACATAATTTCCTTGAAATTTCCTTGAAGTTTCATTAAGCAGTTTGCAGTGATTTTGGACCAATACAAACTGATATAATTAATTTTAAAGGCACAAAGTAGCACAATTAACACATATGTGGGCTAGGTAAAAAACACAGGCTGTTATACTGTTTAAAATTAAATATTTGTTATGATTTTACAACATATACGCAGGCCCGGAGCTGCGGGGGGTTGTGGGGAGGGGGGTGTAACACCCCCAGAAATTGTCGGTAGAACTGCCATTTGGGTTAAATATTTTCGCGCAAAGGGCAAGATAGGGGTCAAAATTTTAGAAACATCTTTTTGAAAAAATGGAGAAAATTTGTGATGTCTGGAAAATTTGTTTGATGTTCCGAAAAATTTTGGTATGTCCGGAAAAACTTTTGGACCCCTAAAATGGTACACTGACCGAAATTTTTTTGGCGATGGGGGGGAGGTCGCCAAAAATAATTTGTTCCAGAAAAATTTTTTTCGGCACCAGTCGGTTGACATGACCTTACACCCCCCCCTGAAGAATTCCCTGAGGACGGCCCTGCATATACGATATCACTGTTATAATTAACTAACTAGTCACAGTGTTTGGCGCCAAAGGTTACTAAATCCCATCGCTCAAAAACTTTCGGAAGTTTTCGGAAACACGAAGAAAAACTTATAAACAGATTTTTAATTAACATAATTGATAAATAATGATAATTCACTCAAAAATGTAAAAATAGTGAAACCTTCTTCTGCACCAATGCACTGGGATGAATATTTAAGTTTTTCGGAAAAAATCCTTAGATTTCCTTAGATTTTTTCTCTTCCTTAGATTTTCCTTTTGGACCATAGAATTTCCTTAGAAAAGGAAATTTCCTTGAAAATGGAAGCACTGTACTGACCTTTGAGAAAATTGCAACTATTTTTATGACCTTTTAATATGACCATATGGAAACCAGGTTTTACTCACAGTAATTAGCCAACAACAGAGGGGACATTTTTGGGACACCCTGTATATGCTGGGAGTTTAGTGGAAAAGCACCAATGGATATTTTACACTAACAAACGTTTTATATATATAAATTATCAAAATTAATGAACAATACACTCTGCCTCTCAGCTATGGATTGTATTATCCATGATTACACTGACTATGCAACTGAAAGTTCAAAATTCAACTGCAATATAAAAGTAGATTCACTCTTACTACAGAAAGCTTCATTAAGATTGTCTTCCAGTTTAACAGAATAACAAAAAAAAACAAGTACTAAAAGTACAAATATATTTATTACATATCTTTAGAACTATTACAGTAAAGACATGTAATGATTAGTATTGATTAGTGTGTATATATATTTTGTAAAAAGGCTTATTAAGATGGATAATTTGAAAGCTTGAAACCTTCTGGTCGATCAAGGTTAAACATAAATGATAAATGAACTACTTACTTCCCTTTAAAAGTTTGCTTGATCATATTCTGTCTCCGTAATTGGAAAGCAAACTAGAAATTGTGTTGTCATACCACTGTGGCGATAAAATATAATTCCCGCATGGACAACTTTGAACGAATAAAACTGACGATATTTTAGGGCAATC